CCCCCGCCCCCACTCCATTCTCACTGGTCTTTTGCGGGGGCTGTTCTTAATGATCAGCCTATCTGGCCAGTCTTCACTGCTGGAGAATTGAAGAGTATCTTTTGAGTTAAACCCTAAGAAGTTTCTGCTCAGAGATTTGGGATGTCAAGGGCAGACAGCGAGCGCGAAAGCAAACTCCAGAGAGCTTACAATGGTGTGGGGCGGGTGGGGGGTTGGGGGGGCCGGCAAAGGGAGGGGTCTGTCAGCGGGGTTAAGTGAGCTTTGTCACCTTAGAACTGAGCTCCAGGGGGGTGATATGTTTAGCATGTAGATTGCCAGCCCTTTCCTCGGAGGCACCTTCTGGGTAGATGCTAACCCCCAGCCTTTCGGGCTGGCTGCTGAGTACTTCAACACCCGGGGACGGTTGAAACTAAAAGCCCCGGGCCGGCGGTGGGAAGAGCAGCCCGGATTTGGTGTAGATGTGAGCGCGTTTCCAAACAGTAAGGCCACTCGCGGCACGTTTCCAATGGGTGGAACGCATCCAAGGCCAGAAATCCCAGATGCTTACAAAGAAGCCGCTGCCTGTGTCTGTTTAAATATTCAAGTGGGTTGGAATATGTTTCAAGGCACACCCCCGATTCCTCTTCTGTGAAAACAAGAGGCGATCTCCTTCTGCAGGCCATCCCGGCACCAGGCTCCATGTCACTCGTGAAGGGCAGGGTGGGGTAAGTGGTTAATCGACACATGGCCTGGCCCCCTTGCTCGTTCTACCTCTCAGGACTGTCATGCCACAGGATGGGAAGGGCTTAGAAAGCACACAAGAAGAAAAAAAACAGCTTATTTTGACTGTCCTGATACTGTCTCCCTAAAAAATACTGACTCCATTGTTGCCTATGGGAAGGATGCCAGGTGGAAGCAGCGACCAGGCTTGCTAGCCTCTGTCCACCCAGGATCAGTCTGCCCATCTCTCCTGGGCAGCGACAAGAACCATAGATTTCTTGAGATTAAGAACCTGTTTGCCACAGATGCCTTCTGAGAGTGCCAGTGTGACCATCATTCATTTTCCGCCTGATGCAGAGTTTCTTGACTACTTCAAGCAGGAATCAGCCAGATTAAAAAACAAACAAACTGCCTAGCCAAGCCTAATGGTTTGGCTTCCACCACCCCCACCCCCAGAATTAATAAGTTCAGACCATTTACATTCACTCTTATCCTTGAGAGTCCCCACGATATGGTTAAGAAGTACCACGCTTCATACGCTCCCATGAGCCAGCTCTCCATGGATGGAGAAAGACTGATTACAGATGTTCGTGGTCTGGGAAACAAGGCCCCTGCTGCCACTATGGCTGGGGTGGGGGGTGTCGGTGAGGCTCAGTTGTGAACCCTATGGAATCCCTCCGGCGTATGAGTTCAAATCCTAATCCTGGGATTCCCTCATAACTATGACTTTGTTTGGAAACATCGGTTTTCCTTTTGCTATGCAGCCACACCATTAGAGGGGAGGGCCTAAATCCAATCACTTCCGAGTCATCCAATGCCCAGAACAGACACAGAGACGAGACAGAATATGATGCCAGAGGCAGATGAATCTGGAACTCCAAGCATCGTTGGCTACTGGAAGATAAAATAGATGAAGCAGCACCATCTCTTAGAGCTACACTTTGAATTCAGGCTTTTGGCCTCCTGAACTGGGAGAAAATAAACATTTCTGTTTTGTAAATGCACCTATTTGGGATATTTCTGTTACAACAGTAGTATGGATCTTAGGCCAGGGCTCAAATCCAGCTGGGTTCTGCTCACCAAGTTGGGCACCCATGGGGGTTGTATCTACCCAGAGGGGCAGGTTTTTCCCACGGGAACAAAGGCACTGTTGCGCTAGCGGTGCCCTTCCTTGAAGAAGGACTTCTAAGGGAAGACCCTCTTCTGCAGTGTCTCCCGGGGGTGGCCTTGCTGGAACAGAGGGCTGGGAATGTCCTTGTCTGACACCCACCCCGCACCTTGGCAAGACTTACTGAGCGTGACGGAGTCGTTGATCTTGAAGCTGCAGAGCACCTTGTCCACGTTGCGGGCGTGCCGAAAGCCGTTTCCTCTCACGACGACTTGGAATGATTCTGAGAAGAAGATCAGAATGACAAGTCACATTATTTGACTGCAAATGAGGAGCCTTCTGGCTCCTGGTGGCCTTGAGTCACGGCCTCCCCTATTTCACCAAACTTCAAATATGCAAACATTAGTTTAGGTAAGAACCTAGAAGCAACCACTTTTATTGACCATTACGTTCTCACCAGGCAGGCATAATACTTTTTGCTTTACCTTTCTTCCTCCTCTCTGCCCATGCAGATTTTACTCATCCCAGAAGTTAAGGCACTTCTACAATGGGAACCTCTGCAGCCATGGCAGTCAGAGGGACACGGCTCCCTCCTTCAATCAGGCCATCTCTCTTATCTGCCTGACATACTGGACTCCCCTGAAAGGATTTCTTCAGAACTGGGGGTGTCTAAAATTCTTGTAAATCTCCACCCTAGGGTGAATGATGTCGCATGTCCTTAAGAATTGGGCTGGTTTTCCTTCTTCTTCTTTCCATCCAATTAGAAAAAAAGGTCTTTTAAGTTAAGGATTGTGGGTACTACATGGGACTCCTGCCAGTGCAGAGTGCACAGCCATAGGACCCAGCTTAGCAAGCCAATCAGAGCCTTCCTTCCTGGTGCGTGGTTGTTGAGCATGACAACACCTGCTTGGATTGGCCATTGGTCCCTACTCTGAATAGAAGAGAAAATCCAGCTCCCCGGCCTGAGCCCTGAACATTCAGTTCACATTGCCTTAACCAAGTCCCTGCCATCCAGCCCATTAGAGTCATAGTGACCCTGGTTGCGACCCCTTTGGGGGGTCGAACCACCCTTTCACAGGGGTCGCCCAATTCATAACAGTAGCAAAATGACAGTGATGAAGTAGCAACAAAAATGAGTTTATGGGTTTGGGGATCATCACAACATGAGGAACTTATTAAAGGGTCGCGGCATTGGAAAGGTTGACAACCACTGCCCCAGAGACAGACCAGAATCGCCTCTGTGGGTTCCCAAGGCTGCAAATCTTCCTGGGAGCAGACAGCCTCAGCTTTCTCCCTCGGAGCGGCTGGCGACTTGGAACCACTGACCTTCCGGTTAACAGTTCAGTGAGCAGCTCACTACGCCCCCAGGCTCACCCTCGCATCATGCACACTGAATAAACATATATGAGTCTGTACTTCATACTTAATTACACGAGTAACAAATGGGTACCTATGAACCAAACCCTAATAATGTGAAAATGATTTTTTTTCACAGCCCTACCAAGGAAAAGAGTCCAGTAGTTAATTTGCTGCATATTTCGTAGTAGTTGCTTAAGCTTGATGGTACCAAGAATCAATGCTCTATCTCTTTTTCTTTTAGTCAGCCAACCAAAGCTGGGGGTTGGGGCAATGCTGTGTGGCCCATGGAAGGAAATCAGACCCCGTGGAGGTAAAGTGCCCCATCCATGAGGGGGGCTTTGGAGCTGCAAATTGCAATCCAAGAGGAGACAGTTACTGAGGAAAGGACGGGTCCGAGGACCAGCATGTGGGCTCTCGCTAAGCTGAAAATACTTCATGAGTGGACAACACCTTTGTTCCCAGGAAATGAAGAGGCCATGTTGGCCGAGACAAGAATACCAACCAGAAAATAAAAACCCAAACCAAGAGTGTGAATTGCGCTCTCGCTGTGCGCCAAGCCCTGGGCTGCTTCGTGTTGGAAGCGCAGACCACGCAGACCTCAGCACAGCGCCGAGAGGTGCACACGAGGAACTGACCTTAGTGATGGGACGGAATCTTTCTGCTAAAACGGATGCCCACTGTCCTGTGCCGGATGGGTCATTGAGAGATGGGTGTTGTGATGTCTTTTACAAAATTGTTTCTGTCTTCCTCTTAGGTAGCGTTAGTGGAGCCCTGGGGGTGTCGTGATTGCCTGCTGGGATGCCATCCGCATGGTTGGCAGTTTGAAACCACCAGCCACTGGTGGGAGAAAGAAGGGGTTTCTACTCCAGGAAACTGTTACCGTCTCGAAACCCCCGGGGTGGGGGAGGGAGGGTAGTGAGGAGTTGGCACTGATTCGATAGCAGGGAGTTGGGGTTTGGCTTTCTAAGGTGGGGTTTCCCATTTTCTAAGAGAGTACAACCGATCCCGAGAGCAGCAAGACACCGACACCTACGTGGGAGACTCAAGAGGCACTCTGGGTGTCCCAAGGAGTGCAAGTTACAACAGAATCTTCAGGGACCTGAAGAGTGAGGCAGCTGAGACTCTGCCATCTTAGATGCCTTGCTCAAGGTCATAAAATTACCGAGCAGCACCACTGGGACTCTGACCCAAGCGTCCACGTGCTTTCATTTAGATCTATGTTCATAAAAGTTAAGAGACATAAGTGGCCTTTCAGGATGAGAGGGCTCATGACGACTCAGGATTCATAGATGTATGCAGTCCCCAGATGAGGAGACTCCATGGCACTGCGTGCTAAGCACTGGGCTGTGAACCAAAAGATCGGCTGTTCAAATCCGTCAGCCATGCCATGAGAGAAAGATGAAGGCAGCCTCCTTCCAAGTCTCACCGCCTTGGAAATGCTAGAGAGCATTTGGGGGGTCGAATGACCCTTTCACAGGGGTCACCCGATTCATCACAGTAGCAAAACGACAGTGATGAAGTAGCAACGAAGATACTGTTATGGTTGGGGGGTCACCACCACATGCGGAACTGTATGAAAGGGTCACAACGTTAGGAAGGTTGAGAGCCACTGCCCTCGAGAATTTCTACCCTGTCCAATAGGGTCATCCTTGTCGGTGTTGACTCGACTCAACAGCAGTGGGCTTGGGTGGGTGGGTGGACAGGTCCTGGGTGGCTCAATGCTCATAGAGCCTATCAACCAACCAAAAGGCTGGCAGATCAAGATCATCCTGAGCTGCTTCCAAAGACTGGCCTCATGATCTGCTCCTGAAAGATCATAGCACTGAACCCCACACAGTGCAGATCCACTCCACCCCCGAGAGCCGCCATGAGCAGCGGTCCCCAGTACTCTGCATGCCGACGTGCACACAGGATGGCTGGGCTTGGAAGGACGGGCCCGGCATTTTCCTTTGGCTGTCTGTCTGTCTGTGTGGTACAGGATGGATCACTCGCTCAGTTCAAGGAGTGCCGTGTACAGGGTCAAGCAGCGGTGAAAGATTTCACTGTCTTCTACTTGCTTCGTTCAGTCCTTAGAAACCCATTTCTGGCTCTAGTCTGAGGGCCAGATGTATAGAAATTGGCTGTTCGAGGTTTGCTGATACAAACTGTTTTCTGTCTGGTCTCTGCAACGACTTCTCTCGTTTCCTCACAGCTTAGCCTGCCCAACTCTCTTCTCTAAGACCGTGTTCTAGCAGTACCAGTGCAGCTGCCGAGTCTTCTGCACAAGAGGCTGCCCACATTTCTGGCTGGCCCCACCTCGGGCGCTTAGGCAGAAAGACAGGAGGATGCTGTCATGTGGCAATGGTCAAAACCAAGCAATGTCATCCCCTAAGCCAAGGACGAACACCAAGAGCATGCAGCTGCGGGAAGTACCCCAGGAAAGGGTCAAGGGCTCCCACTCTGTGGTCTTTGTGTCCGTGCCCGCATTTGGTCTCCAGAAGAGCCCAACCATCGGAGCCGCCAGCCTAACCAGAAGGGAGATCAGCTCATCGCATATGCAAGTTACGTAACCGAGTCTCGTCCCGCGGGTCTGCCAGCAGGTGAGGGCTAGAATCCACTACAGCTGCTACACACCGATGGACCAACGTTAATTTGCAGGGTCCTAAGCCTGCCTCTCAGAGAAGGGAGAGCTACAAGCTGTTAGGTAATCCCCGTGTTGGGTCATAGCTCTAGGCAACGGGTCTAGGGAGAGTGCAGAGGGTCGTTTCCCCCTGAAAATGCACTTGGCTGTCATCCTGAAGGGGCCTCAAAAAGTTCAGGGAAAAATCCCATCATCTTTTAGTTCCGTTTTCTCACAAACTTTTTGAAGCCCTCTCCTACGTCCACGATGACGATTCTGGAAAAGCCCCGGTGGCAGTGAGGAAGTGGCTGGCTGTCAGTTAAAGGTCCGTGGCTTGGATCCACCAGCCAGCCACACTGTGGGAGAAGGATGTGGCCGTCTACTTCCACAAAGATTACAGCCTTGGAAACTGTATGAAGCCGGTCCACGCTCACCTGTCAGGTCATCGTGAGGTGGAGCCCACTGAATAGCAATGAGTGGTATGCTGATTTGTGTTACTTTTTGTTCTCGATTACAATGTAAGCTTCCCAATGCGGCTGTGCTTGTTGGTAGACGCCAACAAACGGCAGAGCATCTGTTCTATCTCTTCCGGATGCGTGGCGGTGCCCAACCCTGGGCTTAGTCCATCTCAAGATAAACCCATTGAATAAATGGGTAAGTGACATAGGCTGGTATAGAAAGGGCAACATGGATTAATTTTCCTTTCATCCAATTTTATGCAAATGTGTTTGGTAGTATAAAAATATGGGGCAGGGTCTGGCCTCTTTTACTAAGCATTCGTCCATAATTTTGAGGTTCATTCATCAATATTTTGAGATTTAGCCACAGCGGCGCCACTTCCTTGCCAAGTATCACTCCACTGTACACTTCCACAACTTGTTTATCCATTCACCTGTTGAGCATATGAGCTGTTTACAGTTTTGGGTCATGTATAATTAAGCTGTAATGCCAGTCTTTTATGGACAGACATTTCCTCTTCTTTGAGGTAAATACCTTTATGGGTAATGCAGATGTATGTTCAACTTTGCAACAAACTGTCCAAACTGCTTCTCAAAGTGGGTGTGTCATTTTATAGCCCCACCAGAAATGTACGAGAGTCCCTTCTACCTCCAAAGAGAAATATATTTGGAAGGAGAGAAAGACAGGGCAGAGGATAAAAATACCCATTCAAAAGAGGTGACTAATGGCCAGCCATGAATGCATTAAAAAAAAGAAGAAGAAAGAAATGAAACTGCTCTTCGGTCACTTGGGGCTGCTTAACTGGTCCTGGGCAAAGCAGCTAATCTCCAATTGGTCACCAGGAAGCCTGGGACTGCCTTGTGCTA